TAATAAAATTTAATTTAGAAAAATTTAAAAAAAGAAAGTAACCCCCAAATGAATGGGCATGGCTATTCCAATAAAACTGATTTGTCAACCAACTTTGGCCCCGCTGACATTTGCTGGCCTCTGCTATAGAACACTGACTGCAGGTGGGCCTCAGCCCTGCCTTTTCCCACCCTTCCCATGTGTCCCTCTGGCTTGACATCACACTGCTCTGTCCCCTCAGGCAGCGCAGCTGGCTCTGCTTTAGGATCTCTTCAGACTAGCTGGCCTGATTGCTGGGCTCCTGGTGCCATAGGAAAGCAGGTGCTCTGCTGACCAAGTGGTCAGTCTGACAGAAATCTGGCTGTCTATTTGAGGTGGTTTGAGCTTCCTAGATACGGCAGGTCCATTTGGCCATTTTTTGTTTCCAGCCAGAATTTTTAAAACAATAATTTTCAATAAAACAGAACAATAATTTTGTTTTCTGTTCCACACGAGAGAGAGAGTACTGTATCCATGCTCTGGGGACAGCCTGGGTGTGCTGTATGCCCTTTTTTGTTTTGAAGACCTTTTTAGCTGGAGCTCCTTGTGCCGAGTTGATAGGAGCATCCACTCCTTGTGCACCTGTTCTGAGCTTCTATCACAGTTCAGGTCCAGGAAGCTGACTGCACCAGCACCGGACTGCCTTTCCCCTCTGAAGCCGCCTGCTCTCCTAAACAGTCACTAATTGCTGGAAAGACCCTGTGTCCCACAGGACTCTGGGGGTTTGGTAAAGTTTTTCAGCCAAATGTCACCACAGTCCAGCTGGCAAGGCCAGGATCAGTGTGGTTTCCCCCTGCTCTGCACACAGATAAGTACTCTGTGGCTTTGGATCTACTCTGGGACTCTAATACTGACTGTGTGGCCCCACACAGTGCTCCAGCGGGCTTGAAGAGCTACGTTAAGACCAGAAACAACTCCTGCTCTGAGATATGCTCCTTTTTTATTGCCTGGGTCCTCAGCCTCTCTACCAGGCCCGCCTCTGCCTTTGAGAGGCAGCAGGGAAACAGTAGTTGTTGAGTATTGTTGAGTTGGAACTGACTCACAGCTGACCCTCCAGCAGATTTTCAGAGGCAGTAAATTGCATGGAAGGAGATTGCCCATCTTTCTTCCACAGACAGCTAGTAGATTCGAGCACCATGCCTTTGGGTTGGCAGCACAACTCCTTACCGCTAAGGCACCAGAAATCCCTAGAAATAGTAGAGGTGAGATGTAAAGAGATCAGAGTCAGGAAAGCTGTAGTCTCTAACCGACTTTGTTGGTGTGAAGCCTGAGGCTGCCTGCAATCAAAGTCTTAGTCAGTATGGAGCTATTTCATTATACTTCTTAGCACTGCCACCTTAAATGATGCATGTAGGAGGGTTTGGGTTTCCTGCTATTGGGAGTCCCAGGTCAGGTGAGTGGAAAGGTGGGACATAAAATGGTAGAAGCTGAGGGCTCCTGTAGTCCCTCAGTCTGGGCAGGGCTTTAAAGGGAGCACGAGGTTACTGTTATTCCCGCTGTACATCTCTCTGGTCGGGAGACCGCACAGGTGGGCTGCTTTGCCAGTCACTCCTTTCCTTCAGGGCTCATCTCTCTCTTTCTCTCTGTTCACTCAGGTTTGAGCTGATGCGCATGTGCTGGCAGTACAACCCCAAAATGAGGCCTTCCTTCCTAGAGATCATCAGCAGCATCAAAGATGAGATGGAACCTGGCTTCCGGGAAGTCTCCTTCTACTACAGTGAGGAGAACAAGCCCCCTGAACCAGAGGAGCTGGATCTGGAGCCGGAGAACATGGAGAGTGTGCCCCTGGACCCATCTGCATCCTCCTCCTCGCTCCCGCTGCCGGACAGACACTCAGGACACAAGGCGGAGAATGGCCCGGGCCCTGGCGTGCTGGTTCTCCGAGCCAGCTTCGACGAGAGGCAGCCCTACGCACACATGAATGGGGGCCGCAAGAACGAACGAGCCCTGCCCCTGCCCCAGTCATCCACCTGCTGATCCTCAATCTCAAACCCCGTGCAGACCACAACACGGGTGCACACTCAGAAACAGGGTGGGCGGAGGAAGACAACACATTAACAATAGATTCAAAGCCTCCGTACCTCAGTGGATCTTCAGAGCTGCCATTGCTGCCCATGGGAGATGGCTTCTCTTCATAAACACATTTGAGATGTTCTTTTTTCCAGTATGCAAGCAGCTTTTTATTTCCCCAACTCTTTGACACGGCCTTTAAGAACCTTAATGACAATGCTAATAGCACCAGAGCACCTGTGAGCCCACCGGCCTTGCTCTCTGCTCTCTGTCCCTGTCTCTTTCTCATTGTCTCTCTCTAATGCATTTCTCTTTCTCTGCTTCACAATGAAAATGCATTTGCCACACATCTAGCTGTGACATCAGGTTCACAGGTCCTCATGGCACCCAGCCTCCCATCAGCACTTGCCTGACACTGTAGGCTTTTATCAAAACCGGTGAAGAATGCATTTTTTAACACCGTCTTTGGCCTTTTGAAGAATCTACCGAATTTTTGAAACGGCCATCATTCATCCAAGTTTACCATTTTAACGCTGCCAAATTTTGCCCAAATCCAGAGCTTTCTCCCTTACAGCCCCACACTAATTTTCTTCCCAGAGGCATAGAGAGGGCATATTTTAGAAATATGTTAGTGATGCCTCCATACATGATCATTAACTGGTGGACATTTAAGTCTCATGTCCAGGAGTGACCTGACGGCTTTGGCTAGCTTGCTTTTAAGGGGAACTGGGCATAAATGGGGCGGGCTTTCAGATAAGATGAGGAGGAGCTGAAATGGCTTCCCTACCTTACTTCCCCACATCCCAGTCCCCAGAAGTTGTGGAGCAAAGGAGCCCTTTCAAGAGCTGGAGACCTGGCCTTTGAGCAAAAACCGCTCCCATGCAGTCTGCCCTCAGCCCTGCAGGCTGCAGGAAAACCGACAGGAAGGGGCTCTCAGCGGCTCAGCCCAGCAACTGTGTACAGGTTTGCAAGGAAGAAATTCAAAACCACCCCAATACGAAGAAAAGCAGTAAATGGACTCAAGCATTCTAAGCTTCATTGACATTTTCTCTGTTACTAGGACTTCACGGCTCTTACAGTTCTATGTTCGAGCATGAAACATTTACATACACATCGTCTTTAATGTCACTTTTATAACTTTTTTTATGGTTCAGATAGTCATCTATACGTCTGTACAGGAAAAAAAAAGCTGCTATTTTTTTGTTCTTTATCTTTGTGGATCTAATCTATGAAAACTTTCAGGTCTGCCCTTTCCCTTTCTGCTTACTCCAAGAAACTTCTTATGCTTTGTACTTGAGTGTGTCACTTTCTCCTCTTTTTCCGTAACTGAGACTTATCTACACAATTTGCCATGAACTGTCTGATGCCTTTTTATAAACACGTCCTCCTCTTCCTGCCCTGGTAGTTGTTTTCTAGCCCATAGGCTCTGTGGGCATGAGGTTGGTAAGGGAACAGATGGGAACACGGAGTCCATGCCACCCTCCCTTGGAGGGTCCTGCCTGGCTGGCCGAGTGCCATCTTTCCTTGCTGACTCTCACAGCCTTTGAGTGTATTCCAGGAGGAGACAAGACACAAACTCAGGTCAGGAGGTAAAAAGGTGCCGTTTTTGCACATCCTTGTTCAATGTTTCTGGCCACCATTGTTGAAAAATCTCACCTCTTTCTCTCACCTTTGTTTTGGTTGTGACACATTTTAATTCTTGGGTACAACAGCAGTTTAACTGCAGTCACTAGGCATTTAGGTCCCTCCATCTCATGAGAATCAACTCTGCATCAAGGGTGTAGCTGTGTGGGCCGACAGGCCCCTTGGTGGCTTCTGCCACTGGCCCTCACTTGGCCTCATCTGTCTTCCAGGAGCTGTCTGGGCACCCCGGCATGGCAGAATGGCATAGGCCCAGGTAACAGTCCCAGAGGTGTTGGCACAAGCCCTCCTGATGATACTGGACGTGAGGTCAGGGCAGGGCACAAGAGGGCCAGAGCCCTTGCTTGTTGCTGTCCCTTTTGGCCAGGATTCAAAGCAGGGCAAGGCTTATTTCACTTTTGTTTTTAGCACCTCTCAGCAGAGTGCTGACAACGCAGAGGTTGCTTCTTGGATGGAAATATTTTGACTGTGCGAGTTAAGAACAAAGCTGATGATTGCTACTTGTGAATGTGGAGGCAACACAGAAGAGAAGTGCCAGCCTTCAGCCTGTCCACAGCCTCAGCCCCATTACACCTTTAGCCTCTGATCTGTAGGAGTTTTCTTTTGTGATGTCAGCCCCCACCCGTGTAGAGAAGCTCTGTTAGCATCTATATACTGAGCAAAGGTTCTTTCGTATGTGTAAGATGAGACAGTTTTTACATTTTTTTTCCAAACATGTATCTACCTCTTATTTTGTCTATACATACAGATTCAAGTCTGCATCTCTGCTTTCTCAGCACCTGACAGTATGCCATTGATACTGGTAACCTCAACCTTGCACAGGTCACACCAGGTGAAGGGAAAACTAGCCAGTGGCCTGAGGGCAAAGCCACACTCCAGCTCATCTCTTCACTCATTTCTAGAAGGCTTGCCTTTTTCTAAATGCTGCAGCTTTGGTTGCTTTTGCGTTTTTCCTAACAGGGTCAGAGGCAATGTGGTGTTGGGGTTTTCCTTCTCTCAGCCTGGTGGTCCCAGAGTCCAGGCCACCCTGCATTTGGCAGGAAGGCCCAGGAGAGCTCAAAGTAGAGAAACCAGATGGCCATCCTGTGCTGTCTTTGAAGCAGAGTCCCTTACACAGATTGAATGAGGAATGAGAGTTCTTGAAGGAAAAGCTGGATGAGGACAGGAAAGGGTACTAGTGGCTCTGTTAATTCCCTGTGCAAGTTGGCAGTGTCGGGTTCCTGCTCTCAGCCACTCCTGACACGCCCTGGGCCAGGGTCTGCAGGGAAGGCCCCTTGCCTCTGTTAAGCTCAAAGGTGTAACCATGCTGTTGATACGGGCACATGGCTCCTCATCGTTCTAAGGGACAGCACAGATGTTCCTGGCAAAACGGAGAAGCAAAGACCCTTCTCCCTCTCCACACTCTTCTCTCAGTTATACCCTCACCTTCTCTCTCCCTCACAGGGAGAACAAAGAACCTTCTGGATGGACAGGGCTGTTGGGCATGTGGAGCCACCCCACACAGCTCTGTCCTGCTGCTCATAGAAGGGGGAAGGTGCTTCTCTAATGCTAGCAGTTGCTCTTAAAGGCCTTGAGAATGAAATCTGGAGAATGCCTATGGGTGATTGTCCCAAAGCATGTTCCTTTAAATCTCAGCTCTGCCGGCAGCTCAGGAGCCCTGTCCCCTACTGGGATCTGAAGGCAATAGAGAAACATTGATCAGGGGTTCTGTTTCCAGGCTGTTGTGACCTCTCCCTTCTTTTGCACATAGATACCAGTTTCCACAACTGGATTTCTACAGAGCATTCAGCTGGTTATAAGGGTTTTATTTAAACTGTCCAAGTTGGTGTAATTTTGTTTTTGTCTTCTGTAGGTGGGTTTTCCTTAAGTAGGAAGAAAACACTCCCAGTGCAGTACCCATCATACCAACTGCTTCAGAAACATTTGCGCTGGTATGGTCGCTTCCTGGACCAGATTGCCCTCCTTGGCTATGCCAAGGCAACATCCAGGCACAGCTCTGGCTTGCTTCTATACTGATTTTCACACCTCTTTTTGATTTTTCTTTTTGTTATGCTCCAAATTATTTTCTAAATCTGAGTTGTAGCATTTTCCATGCAACCTCCTGCCAGGAGATCACACTGCTTCAAGTGACACAAACCACTGAAGCCCATCATTGACCGGATGTGAGTGTGACAACATCACCCACAGCCCTGCCCAGGACAAGGGCTGGTTTATCATGATGACGTTGTCGAACCTGAGCTGGGGGAGGCCTGGGCCATTTTGGTCCCCTAGGTGGGACAACAGGACGCTGGCATTTGACATGTGGGCAGAATGAGCTGCTTTCTTGGAAGATTGCAGCTAGTACTGGCCTCTTGTCCAGTTGATTTCTTAGGACTGAAAAACATCAGTGGTAGGAAAAGTGGCTTAATGAACTCGAAGACTCGTGATTGTGGAACTACCAATGGCAGAGGGCTTGGCACAACAGACATGTTTCAGTTGAGATGACAGATTCTAAGCCAGTCTGTTGCAATGGAGCCTCTTTCTCGGCAGCTACCTCTGTCTGCTGGTGGTCATATGCTATTTGGGAGACTGCAAAGGCAAGTCACTGAGCTCAGCCCAGTGAGAAGGCCAGGTGCTGGGCCAAGGTCTTCAGAGTGCTACTGGAGTACCCAGACAGTACTGAAGGCAACCCCTTTCTCAAACAGGGTGCCCCCCAGTACATGCCATGCCATGCCTTGGCCCATTTTAGCATTGTGTTTAAGATTTGAGATTTGATCTTTTGTTAGTGTTAACTTTTTGTTTGTCCGCTGTTTTTCTTTTCCTGGGCCAAGCAGCATTAGGAAACAGAGACCAGCAATCCACTCGTTCAGCATGAGTGATCGAAGTCAAATTTTCTTACTCTACTCTGAAGTAATTGGTGGTAAAATGAAATTGTCAAGAGAGAAATGTTGCTTATATTGAACCTCTGATGCCAGAGATGCTGAAGATACAGACTTTGCACAGGCCAGAGTGTTTGATGTTGGCCTTCAGCTTAGCCGACAGTGCTTCCTGATGAGGGAATGACCAGGTAGTAGAAAGCATTGTAACAGAGATTATGCATGACAAGAAGAATTTTGAGAAGGGTACAGGACTTGGAAGAAGTGTGGGCACATCTTTTTTAACTTGATGGTTTCTGATGGTAACAAACCAATGAAAATTTTATTTCAACAAATATGCCCATCATCCTACTTTGGAAACAGGAGTTAAGTCAAATTGCTCCGAGAATATGAACATCAAAATTGTCAGTTCTGGAACATAGCGTTAGGGTTTGGTTTGGTTTGGTTTTTATAAGAATATAATGCCTACTCGTGTGTATGCCTACATTTGTGTGTCTGCATCTTTTTGGTAAACATTGTTTTAATTAGTCACTCATTAGCATTTTCCATAGGGCTCTTCAGTCCAGTAGATTACGGGTAGTCAGTTGACGAAGATCTGGTTTACACGAACTAATTAAACGTTTCATTGCATTTTTGTAAGAACATAGAATAATTTTATGAGACATTTGTAGTTTATAATTGCTGAAAATAATTTAAAGACACTTTTTTTCCTTCTTTGTGCAAATGTGTATTCGTGAATCTTTTTTTTTTTTAAATACACTGCTTTACTAGCTAGCTTTACAGTATGCCAAAAAAAGGTTGGGTGGTTTTTGTTTTCCCTTGGCCCAAGCTGTTCTTTCCCCTTATCTTTTGTGCCCTAGTTTATAACAAAGGAATGATGATTTATGAAGTAGGTCTGTATCTTCAGTATCTTGGTCGTCCAGAACCTTCTGGTTGGGAAGGGAGTCATCTTTTATTAAGTCATGTTCCTTTGGAATATAACTATTTTAACAGACTGAAAAAACATCATTGACCTTGGAAGTAGCAGCGGTGGTGCAGCCCAGTGGGCATGGCACTCTTTGGCATCCATTCACTGGGTTTGGTTGGTGTGGTCATCACCTGGTGCCACAAGGTGGCACGGCCAAGTTTCCCACTATGACCAAAGCATGCAGATATCTCACAAAAGAGAATTCTGATGCTTACAAGCCTCACATCCTGATTTATGCTTTTTTATAAGAAAAAGAGACACTTTATTTTTATTTAAGGTAGAACACCGAAAATACATTTTCCAGTCCTTTTAAAACTACACTTAATTTTTTTTTCCATGTTTAAATCACTTTCTTCTAGCTCCCCCCAAATTACTGGCCATGTTCATAGAACTTCACAAAATTCCTAACCTTAGAAACTTCTAGATGCTTTGCACCAAATAGAAGAAAGGTCCAGACCCATTTGTTTGTAGCTTTTCATCCAAATGTTTGGTGTTGCGCAGACATGTCTCCAGATGAACAGCCTGTGGAAACACCTGTCTGCTCACTAAACCAGAGAGATAGAGGTGAGAGGCTTGCCAGAGTCTGTCTACCTCTGGTACAGAAATTAAACCAGAAGGCATGGTGGAATGGATGCATCACAGATAATACTATTTGAGTGTGGTTTTTGTTTGAAAAATGTTTTTCAAAAAAAATAAAAAGTTTTTTTAAAGGTAATAATAACATGGTCAATTTGTTACATGATTTTCTGTGTATAAATTATTCTTAAAAAATTCCTGTGTTTATATATTAAAAAATCAGTAGATTTAAAAATTAAAAATGTTTTTGTATATTCTGTTGTAAGATTTATTCCTATTATTGCAATATACTCTGGATTCTTTACATTATTAAAAAAAAGAAAATTTGAAAAAAAATTGTCTATTTTGAATGGCTGAAGCTAAGGCAACTTTAGTTTCTCTTACTCTGCTTTTTTCTAGTAGTTAAAGCACTACATGATTTAAGTTAAATAAAGGAATTCTGTATGTACTTCTTATGTCCATTTGTCTCCTTCCCTGTGCCTTTTCTGGAAGCATGTACTTCTACATGGGAAGAAGCATGTACTTCTCCAAGGGAAGCTGAGCCTTGAGCCGACACCACCCAGCGGGACGTGCACTGGGGCTGGCTCGGCTGAATGCCCTCTGTGTGCACACTCCAGGTGGAGTCTGCAGAGCTGACCTTACTAAAGCAGCTCGCAGAAAACAGAAAAATAGAGGCATGGCATTTCATTTTTTCCTGATATGTGGACATGACTAGTCAAGCAGGTTTCATCTTCTTGTTTCCACTTGCACGTTGGAGCCTCCTAGCTGCCATGTCTACCTCCATGGATGCAGGTGAGGACCCACATGTAGCTGAATGGAAAAGGGTCCTCTATAGCTGGTGGCAGCCAGGTGTCCCCTCCATACCAGGCCTGGTATGGGAGTGCGTGCCTGACAGATTACCCATCAGCAAGGGAAGCATGGGTTTATTTGGGCTTAGTGCTAATCTGTAGTGAACAATTCCACATTTAACCACATCAAATGTGCTGCTTTCTGGGCATGACTGGTACCTGTCTCCCAACCCCAAAGTGCCATCATACAGAATTAAAGATGTTTTTCAAATGTGCATGCCCTGACTGGGACAGCAAACCCAGTAAGCACATAAACTCAGGCTTGCTTGTGTTTGCACATCTGAAAGAAACAGTTTCACGTGTCAAAGGATGTGGTATAAAGCATATGAAATTATCCCCCATGTATGGGTAAGCACAGTAGAGCTCTTCATCCTTGCTTCCTGGGCAGTGTCCACTGAACCTTAGATGGGCACAAGCTGTAAATGGTGTACGGTCAGACCACATATTTAGCATCAAGAGGACAAGCAGGTCACTAGTATGGGAAGCCATGGCATTGCACAGAGCTGGTTTGATGAAGTTCTTAAAGGAGGGCCTGATCGAAATGTGTTCAAATGCATGCCAAGCAACCTGACCTCACACAAGCACATGTTAGGGGCCTTGCGAAGTGTCCAGAAAATGAGAGCTGTAGCCAGGGGTCTGGGGGTCTCAAGTACAGAGTTGTCCACAGTGGGCGGGGAGACCTGTGTGTGTCCATGGTTGGTGGGTCGACCTGAGTGTCATGTCCACAGTGGGCAAGAGAGACCTGCGTGTGATGCCTGCTTGCCTGGCTCACTTTCACCTGCCTTTTTTTTCCCCCAAATGAGTTTCAATTCAGAAAGGGAATACAACATATTTCAAATTCTCAGGACCATACTTACTGGAGACATCAAGATCAACTGGCATTAACAGTTCACAATGTTCTACCTACTTTTCTGAGTATCAACTAGGGTCCTCAAAGCATGTAAGTCTCTCCCCATTCAGAACCAATATGAGTGAGGAAAAACAGTCCATAGGACTCTGTTGGACCACATGGTCTGTGGTCTCTGTTCCTGGAGTCCAGAACTAGCCTGGTTACCACTACTCACTGTTCTGAAAGGAATCTCAGCAGATGGGGAGAAACTTTGGAGGGGAAATGCAATCATAAAAGAATTTTGAGACTGATAGAATCCCGAGAATGATGACCTTTAATCACCCACCAGGCCTGGAACTGGAATCCCTACCATGACAATTTTGAGCTAAACAGTAGACTGACAGGGCCTATGAAGCATGTATTAACACCACAGAGGAGCACGCTCTTTAGAACCACCAACCACACAAGATCTAAAGGGTAGCATCTGCCCAGAGATAAAGATGGGAAGGGATGGGCGGGGGTGGGGGTGGGGTGTGAATTACCTGTGTGGGGCATGCAGTGGGGAATTGTGAAGCATGCTTACATTGTGAGAACTGCCATCAATGTCACGAAACAATGTCTGTGAATTCTTGAATGGGAGACTTATTTTCTCTGTCAGCTTTAATTAAAATTGCAATTAAAAAGGTATTTTTTTTAATTTCCATTCATTCATTGTTGCACTTTTCTCCCTGCCCACCCCTCCCTCCCCCAGTTCGCTTTGAAAAGTAAAAGAAAAATTCCTTCATTGGTATACAATCCCCCCACATCCCCCTCACTGCCCTGAGTACACTGCACTATGCAACCTTAATTCTGGACTCTTGTGATAACCATAATACCCTATCATAAATCGCTTTTAAATTGTTCTCTCCCTCATCTGTTTCAATGCAGTATAGTTTATTCAGTTTTTCTCAGTCTTACCCCAACCCTGATATCAGTTCCATTCTGCAACAATGGCACCATGTAGTATCTGTCCTTTTGTGACTGAGATATTTCACTCAGCATAATGTCCTCCAGGGTCACCCATTTTGAATAATATTGCATGAGTTCCTTGTTTTCAATGCAGCATAGTATTTCATTGTGTGAATATACCACTGCTTCTCTATCCATTAGTTTGTTGATGGGCACTTCGGTTGTTTCCAACTCCTTGCCATTGTGAACAAAGCCATAATAAACATGGGTGTGCATAAAGGGTATGGGGTTGTTTTTTTTAAAAAAAAATAAATCCAAATGCACAAATGCTCTGGTGGCCCAGTTCCTGTTAGATGAATGAATCCTTGCACTGAATGAATGATTATAATGTCATAAAGTGAAAATCATGATCATGTGAGCACTGACACGTAACAAGATATTTCCCAGAACATAACTACTTCCTTGATTTAAAACCCACCATTGTCAGGAGGGGTTCCAGCAGACCTTGGCCCCAGAAAACACTGGACAGATGAAAACTAGGCATGAACAACTTGGCACAGGACCCAATGCCATGTTGGAGCGTTAAAACTAGAGGTTTGAGGGGCTTGCGGTTTTTAAAAGTTGGGAAAAACATTTGCAACAGGAGAGAAACTAAGCCCCACCATAGACTTCTGCTTCAGAGTTGACCTGGACTCCCATGTTGAAGACTCTATGGCCAAAAGCTGCCCAATGGACAAGATACATGAGCATGGAGGCCATAGCACACGGCTCTTGGGACACTCCACTGTCTTCTTTGTGGCCAGTAGGCTGTGGGAGTCCACCTCGGGGGCTTGGCAGGAAGGAGTTTCCATCTCCAAAAGGGACATTACACAGATCATGCCACAGTGTTTCAGGAGTGAAAATACTAAGATTTCTTTTTATTGTCATGAAAACTGTAAGCTGGTTAATCCCTTTCACAGCACTCCTGCTTCTGACAATGATTTCATTTGGGCTAATTCAAAACTTTTTATCTTACATGTAAACTGTTTTACAAGACATTTTTTTAAAGCCTCTCAAAACACAGATGAACTCTGCTCAGGGTTGAAACATCTCATTTTCTCCAAAGGCTCGGGCCTCCGGTGGTTCCTGTGGCTGAGTTTTCTGGAGCCAGGACTGCAGCTTGGGCTTCGCTCATCTCCTTCAATATTGCCAGGACCAGGGCTTGCAAAGCTTTCCCCAGCTGGCTCACAGGGAGGGTGAGGGACAGGGGTGGGATATGAATGAGCACTGCATGCCCATCTCCATGGTGCAGCGACAGGTAGTAGGTGTAATCACAGACATAACCTGCAAAACGCAGAAAGCACCACGTCACTCCTGACCAGCCTCTTAACACCCCAGAAGTGTGAGTGAAAAGGCAAGGCCACATCAATAAGGTGTGCCTGCCACGTGGAGGAAGAACGCTCACCCTCAGCTCGTTGATGCTGGTTAGAAACCAGCTCTGGGTTGACCCTCCAGTGACCCTCAGACACTGTAGACCGCATGAGAGGAGACTGCCCATCTCTCTCCCTTCGAATGGACGGTGGATTTGAACCATTTGTCTCTGGGTTGAATGTAACTCCTTCGCACTTGGCCACCAGAGCTCCCACAGCTTTGATAAAATAACTACACAGAACTAAAATCCGAGAATAGTCACTCCCCGTTAGCTGACCCCCTAACGGCCCGTGGTGGTCACCCGGCAGCAGCCCCGACGAGGAGGACGGCCAGCCTGGCCCTGCCAGGTGCTGCTTCCGAACCCGCCGGCTGGGAGCCGCTTCGGATCCGCCTGGGCTTGACCCAACGCTGGCCAATCCTTGCCTTTCGCTACCCACCTTGCAGCTGCATTGAAACAATCGCTTGCTAACACCCTCTTGCATGGTATTACTTCTGGTGTTTGGGTTTGTCTTTTGGGAGGTGGTGACTCTCATAGGACGAACTTGGCATTTCTCTAGAATTATTATTATTATTATTATTATTATTATTATTATTTATTTTTTTAATGAAACTTTGGTAACGGAAGTTAGTATGGACCTAACAAAATCCTGTTAGAATTTCTTTTAATCTCTCTGGGGAGAGGGGGAATGTTAGTTTTTATTTTATCGAGATATTTGAGGTGTTGTCTTACTGACTTGGTGATACATGGTTCACTGTTATCATCTGGTCCCTTTGCTGTGGGGTTGGTTTGATTGTTCTGGATGTTTGTATCCCTTGAATAGTAACTACATGGGGAAGATAAAACCAGCCAAGCACTCTGAAGGTGAGTCTCCCCACCTCTTCCCCCACATCCTCTTCTTCGGTGCCTCCCCCCTCCCCCCCAGCCAAAATGGCCCACACTGATGTGCCTTCAATGAGCTGTCTTTGTGAGGTGGAAATTCTTCAATCCTCACTAAGAAGGTTGCTTCCTTTGTCCTTTGCTTTTCCTCCTATTTTGTCTCCAAAACTTTCTCCCAGATCTAACTTCATGTTTCCACTTAAGCCATTAGAAACAGATTTAGAAGCTTGAAAACCTGTGGAGATCTCCCTGGGACTGATGGAACTTGGGGATGGGGTTCACTTCAGCCTTCGAACGTCAAAATCAGAATGCTGTAGGTTTACAGTCCTGGGACTCTGCCACTGCTGTTGCCTGCACCCTGCCTCCACCGCTGCCATTACCTGCGGCTGAAGATCTTTCCAGATTCTGGTGATCCTCCATTTTACCTCCCTGTAATCCACTGGCAGCTGAAATGTTCGCAGCTCAAGCTCTGCATCACACCCGAGGCCCAGCTTGGAGAGCACCTGGACAATGAAACAGGGACCTCAGCCGATGTGACAATGAGGGAATCGGAAAACTCAACTTGTGGTCTCAACCTACTCTCAGGGGTCTTCTGAGGCCAAGACACTGTCCTGAGGAGTGGCATTCCCAAAGAGGTGGGAGAGCCCCTGAGGCACAGGTGGCCCAGTTGAGAGTCGGGATGTAATTCCCTGGGGGATGTAGGTGAGTTCTAAGTGGAAGATATAGTCTGCCCAAGTAGAGAGACAGGGGGAAAGTGTGTCAGGCAGAGGAAACACAGAGAATCTGGAGAAAACAAGAGTTTAAAGCTTCTTGGAAGATAATTTAGTGTGGCCAGGAGCTCTCCAGAGTCCCTGGGTGGTTCAAATGATTGACACTTTAGCACCAACTAAAAGTTAGTTTCAACTCACTCAGAGAACCTTAGAAGATATGCCTGTAGGTTTCCTCCAAACCCACTTCCTTGGGATCACTAGAAATCGGGTTGTAATCCTTTTAGCAACTGGATAACAGTTAACATGCCAGTTAGCAAATGGATAACTCTGCATGGAATTGAAGGTTCCTTCCACATGATCTGCACATGGAGAGCAAGCCAATACCCTAGACTATGAGCTGGGTTCCACTGTCTGTGGTGCCATCAACAGAGGTCCTTGGAAGGATAAGCAGCAATTCATAAGAGGTTGTACTGCTGGCCATCAAATACACCAATAATTCTGAAAGAGAAGGTCGGCACTCTCCTCTGGTTCACTTACAGTCTCAGAAACCCACTGAGGGGTCAGCTGTGAACTGGTTCCAATTTGACAGCAATGAGTTTGCAAGGAGCTGAATGGAAGATTTCAAAGGGCAGATGGGGAAGACAAAGCAAAGTATTAAAATGAAATATGCAAAAATCTGGAGTTTGTATCTTGAAAAGGACAAACTTGGTCAGCTTTTCTTAAGTTGAAGGAACTGAAGAACAAGTTTCAGAACAAGCTTTGAATTGCAAAACTTAAGGATACTGAGGGGAAAATGTTGAAGGACCCAGGAAGGATTTAAAAAAAAATTAAGGCAAGCTCTTGGTGGCCTAGTGAGTGGCAAGAAGCTGCACTGCAATCCCAGAGGTGCATGGTTCAAAACCACCAGACTTTCTCCTGGAGAAGGAGGGACAATCTCCTCCTGTACCAGTCAGATATGATTTGACAGTACACACCCACACACATCCACACACAAATAAATAATTTTAAAAAATTTAAAAGATGGAAAGGTACAAAGCCACTGTACCAAAAATAATTGGCTGATGGAGAAGAATTTAATGAAAAAGCATATGCTAAAGAGGCAATGGTGATGAAGGAGGACATTGGAGATCCTCTGAAGGAACTGGTGAAAAACAAAACCCCAGGAACTGATGGTATACCAATTGACATATTTTGATAAACAGATGCTGCCCTGGATGTGCTTACCTGGTTGTGCCAAGAAATCTGGAGGACACAACTACTTGGCCAACTGACTGGAAGAGATCCATATCTATTACCATTCCAAAAAAAGATGACCTGACAGAGTGTTGGAATTATCAAACAATAGCAGGAGTGACATCCACTTCCTAAACCACATACCTCTGGACACTCTATGAACTTGGAGAAATGATGATAGTTGTAGAAAGGCTTCAGGCCTTTTGTTCATGTGTGCATAGTATGTGTGTGTATATATTGTGTGTGCATAGTGTGTGTGTGTATATATATATATATATATATATATATATATAGAGAGAGGGGGGGGGAGAAGTGGGGGCCTTGTATTTAAATATTGATTGGTCCTGAGGGCCTAGTGTTATTATTTTGGAGGAACTCTTCAGTTAATTTGAGGTAATCTGGGTTTGCTGTGAAGCTGAACCTTGCGCCATTGGGGGTCAAATGCCATAATGGCTGCCCATGATGGACAGTGTTTGGTGGAACTCCCAGTTTAAGACTGGTTTGGAAGCAGTAGTGGCATCCACTTTCTAAACCACACGCCTCTGGAAACTCTATGAACCTGGAGAAACGACAATAGTTATAGAAAGGCTTCAGGCCTTTGGTTTATAGGGTCACTATGAGTCGTGCTCAACTCGATGCAATCAACAACAACAACATCACCAATAGGACATGCAAGTAAGATCCTGCTGAAGATTATCCAAAAATGACTGAAACAGTACATCAGCAGAGAACTTCCAGATCTGCAGGCTGGGTTTAGGAGAGGCCATGACACTAGGGACATTATAGCCTATGTTAGATGGATCTTAGCTGAAAGCAGAGGGTAGCAGAGGAATGTGTATCTGTGTTTTATTGACTATGCAAAGGCATTTGACTGTGTGGATAACAATAAACTGTGCCTAACCTTGAGAAGGATGGGAATCCCAGAATGCTTGATTATGCTTATATGAAACCTATACTTGAACCAGGAAGTAGTCATCAGAACAGAGCAAAGAAACATTGCATGATTCAAAATCAGAAAAGGAGTGCATCAGGGATGCATCCTATTCTCATACTTTTTCAATCTACATGTGGAACAGATCCTTTGGGAGGCTGGGCTCTTTGAGGAGGAATGTAGCATCAGGATTGGAGGATGACTCATCAACAACCTGTGTTAAGTAGATGACACAACCTTGCTTGCTAAAACTGAGGAAGACATGAGGTGATTGCTGCAGAAAGTGAAAGAATGAAGTCTTCAATATGGATTGAAGCTCCAATGTTTCTCACCACTGGGCCAATTGGTATCATCTTAATAGATGGAGAAGAAACCAAGATTGTAATAATTACAACTTGCTTGGTTCTACAATAAACACTCTTGGTACCAGCAGTCAGGAATTTAAAAGATTAATTACATTGGGAGAATCTGCTGTCAGGAACCTTTCTAGAGTGCTAAAAATCAATAATGCCAGTCTGCAGACTAAGGTGCACTTGATCCAGGCCATGGTCCTTGTAATTATTTGCTATGCATCAGAGAACTGCATGCAAGTGGCTAATGAGTCAGAGCTAAAGGCAGGGAGATGCGAGAAGAGGCCGAGGGCATCATTGGGCCATTTGAATGTACTGAGTTTGAAGAACCCAAGGTGACCTGGTCCCTTGCTTCTGCTGATCTGTGACTCCCAGACAAATTTCTGGGATACAACCATGGGTATAAATCAGAGGGGTGTGGAACCCACTAAACAACCAAACAGAGGGCAGAGATGAAGAACTATGAGAAAACTCTAGGGTCAGGGAAGCACCACCCTCAAAGACAAGAGAAACAGCACACAGAAGGAAGGAAGGGAAAAAAAAACCAGGAGAGTGGGGTGTAGAAAAGTTTGACAAGGAACCTCGAGGCTGTTGCATCAGCACCAGGGCCTGTGCATGTCACCAAGTTGGTTTCTGTGGGTGCTTTGACACCCTTTCCTAGCATCTTGGATGGATAATCAGTTTAGGTAGTCAAGGACCTGCCCAAAGTCCCCAGTCCAGAGGCTCCAGATCCCTGCTTAGTCCTCAGAGACAGAGCTGTCCCTGGGTCCTGGACCAGATGTGGACCTGCCTGTGCCACTCTCACGTGCTCCAGGCTGGCAAGCTCTGCCTCCTGACACCTCTGCACTGTGCCTGATCACAATTCACTCCATCAGTTCCTGCTTTGTTCTTCTCAGAAAGCCAGTTTTGACACCACCCTCCCCATGCGGAGCCATAGGGCTAATGATGGGAGGAGGAAATGTGGATCAGGTAAGGTAGGCAGCAGCCCTGGCCTTGGGCAGGAAAGATTTGGAAGAAGCCAGCTGAATTTCAGGTGGACTTCACACAGTCAGATAAAGGGGAGCTCTGACCATACCTGAGTTTTAGGATCTTATGACACTATCCTGGGCTCTGGCCTGTGGGAAGAAATGAAGCTCAAAACGTGACCACAACCTACACTTGGGGGTACTCACAGGTCAGGAGATAGGGTTGGGAAACCATCCCTCTGGGCTCACCTTCAGCTCTGTCGTGAGTGAGCAGGTCCTGCCTTAATTAGGGGTGGCTTCTTAGAACGTGAGGTTCTGCAGAGAACCAGTTTTTCTACTCACTGGTGTCTGCATGGGGGCTTCTCCTTGGCTCTGAACAAAGACTCTAGAGAAGGCCCAGAAACAAATTAATAACC